TGTGTGTGTGTGTGTGTGTGTGTGTGTGTGTGTGTGTGTGTGTGTGTGTGTAGCGGGAGAAGGAGCCACGTTGATCTACTCAGGCTTCTTGTGCTGTTGGGGTAACACTATGTCTATGTGAGGAAGTGACCAGCGGTTGGGACAGTGGCAGCTCTCCGAGTATTTGGGGCTAGAACCCAGACCCTAGTCTCAACAGCGTGGTGTTCTAAACAAGCAACCGACATGCCTTGCAATTTGATACCCGTTTTCTGGATGCCTTGTTCATAAAGTGCTTGAGTCCCCTAAAAGAAAGCCCACGTGACTATTTCCTTCTACAAACCATGAAACTCAAAGAAAGTTTCATTCAGTTGCACCCTCATAGTGCTGGGAAAATGCTTAAAGAAAGCATCCAGACATGGGGCTAAAAATGGAAACCTGAGGGAGTGAAGCTGGGCAGCTCATGGACCAACGATGTGAGGTCGGCTGCTGTGGAGACTAACTGGTGACAAGAAATGTTGATGGGGCAGTTGGTGAGCTCAGCCAGTGGGGCCTTATCAAGATTAAATCTAAATCTATAATTTCTTCCGTGACAATGTCCTTTCTTTCCTCGGTAAAGCACGAACATTTCAGGAAAGCGTATACACCTCAAGGTGTATCACGATGTGGTAGGACCTGCTGAAGGCCACAGAGACCCCCTCTTACTTGAAGTCCCAGGCATTAGTTTAACAAGCTGCTGGGCCTGAGCCAGGGTGAGAGCAGCAAGGGCCTGTCTGTCGCCAATGCAGTCTGTGCTATGCGGCCTTCTCCTTCCAATGGAAGTTTCATCCTGAGTCACCCAGAACTTGCATTCACAAAACAAACTTCAGCAGGGTATGCTGTGCTGTAGTCTGTGGTGTGAGGAGTTGGAACGACAGTCTTCGTGAAGTCCTGCTGACGTGACAGGGAAGGTTCAGGCTGACGACCAGCCGTAAAACATGGAGTCTGTGAGATGGCGTCATTAGTGCCTATCGGACCTTTATTCAAAATAGAATACTGAACTCCTGCTGGTAAGCCAACTCCAAGCGTGCCCAGCTCACGTAGCAAAGCACAGGCAGGATTTCATCCCCTACTTTTTTCTCAGCCGACTTTGTGCAGTGTGTGCCCCATGCTACTGGGCATGGACGCCCTGCTACGATAAGCCCAAGTCTCGGGAAGAACTATAACACAGAGCAGCTTGTCAGAACCCCTCAAGGCAGGTGCCTACATGAGTGGGGCCTCTCTCTGTGGGGCGCCTTCCAGGGTGGCTGTGCAGCGTGACAGCCACAGCAGAACCTGGCTGCCCGCCGTGGCTTTCGTTGCATCATCTCCCCTCCCCCCTTCCGTCTTTGGTGGGAAGTCCCGGGCTTGGCCAGTGGGGGCAGAGAGGGCTTCTTGACTAAAGACCACTTCCTACCACCCAGTGCCGTGCCAACCAGCCTGTTCAACCCTTTGTCATCTTCCTGGTTACGTGGCTGGCTGCCAGATGAGGGAAAGGGTATTAGGCGACCAGGTCGGAAAGGCTCTTTGGCCCCTGCTCTCTTAGGCATGCTCATTCCTGTAGGGGCTACCGCAGAGGTGGGGGGACTCTGACATAGAGGATCAGGGCCACGTGGGAGGAGGGCAGGAGGCACAGGGCCTTCAGCAAAGCTCAGCAACAGCGACGAGATGTTGCTTTTTTGAGAGGTGGTTCAAGCCATCTGACGAGAGGGCCAAGCTGGGGCGGAGAAACCAGAGCAAACCCCCTGCTCCGTGTGCAGTTCCATGGAGAAAGCCACAGCGGGGTGATGCCCTTAAGTTAGGAGAAATGGCAGCCCAGTGATGCTGGCCTTCCCGGACACCTTCACTGAGAAGCCCAGTTGAACCTCAGTTGCCCATTTGAGACTGTCATCAGCTGCAGCCTTGGGCTCCAAGGAAGAGAAATGGAGTCACTGGTGCCAGAGCCAGCACCAGAGGCCACAGAGGAAGCAGGGGAGTGGACCAGGAGCCATCCATCCCCTAGGAGAGCAGCGTACTTGAGCTCCATCAAGGTGCCTCGGAGTGGAACGGCGAGGGCCGGAAGCGGGGGGATCCTTGGCCCGTGACAGGTGCCATCTCTGCCACAGGCGTTTCTCTCCTGCCTGCCAAGGAATGCAGCAGGAAAGTCAGATGGAGACCAGGAAGCTCCGGGAGCCAGCTGTCACCCCCTCCTCCTCTCCCTCTCTCCTTCCCCCTCCCTCCCTCCCCCGGCCAAAAGCCAAGGAGAAGTTAATAAGAGCTAAAAAGTCTGCTGCTCACCATCCCCCTCCAGGCAGCTCTGCAGGAAGAACCCCCCGGGCTGAGGCTCCTGGCAGAGCAGGCTGGGTGCCCTCCCTCCCCGGCAGTGTGTCACTGCACTGGCACTGGGATTGGTTCTCAAATACCTCGACTCAGCAGAGCCCCAGAGGACTTTGACCTCTGTGGAAAACATCTTTCCTGCCTCTAGCAAAGGATGACTGGCTAAAACTCTTTGTGCGGGCTTGGTTTCGACTGCAGTCATAGCGTCCCTTAGGGACCACTGGGTCACACACGAGACACCCAGCTTCTCCCATCTCAGAGCCCTGTGCGCCAGCAGTAGTGAACGCCTGTCCTGCTAGCTGGAGTGACTTCTGTGGCTGTATTTGGAGGAAAATGTTGACGATCTGCCTTTCTTTTGTGGGGAGGGCTTCTGGGGCTCCGTGAAAGTCCTCTGCAGCCCTACGTAAAGTGGCCCCTACGACCAGGCTCAGCTGTGTGGTCTCGGGTCAGTCACCAGCCCTCTCTGAGTGCT